TTGATAGAATTAAAAAAGTAAATAAATTTTAATAAATAAAAAAGAAATTGAGATACCCTTAATATTTAATAGTTAAATAATTATTACTTTTCATTTAATTTTAATTTTGTTATCTAATATTAAAAAATTATATCTAAAGATAGATATTTCAAAATTAATATTCATTAACAATAATTATCTAATTATAATTCAAATTTGAATTTTTATTTTTTTTTATTAGTCAGCTTAAAATAACTTTTTATTTGAAAAATTATTATTTAATTTAAAATAATTAATTAATTTTGTTTTTGATTATTAAAATTTTTTTTAGTTTTAGATTTGAATGCTAATTTTTTATCCATTTATTATGAATATATTATTTATATTTATCATCTTTATTTATTATTATCATCTTTATACATGGAATGTTTTTTGCATGTTTTTCAAATTTATAATTCTTCAAAAATAATGAAAAAGCTTTTATATTATATTTTAGTTGTAAGATTTATTTTTTAGAAATATTTATTTTTATATGTATAATAAAAAAGTAACTTCTAATACAATATACAATAATAAAGTAAAAAAGCAAGCAACGCAATGCCTGGGATTCCACCTAGTTAGACAATAAATGCACTTATTAGGACAGCTTTTTATGTCAATTACTGTTTCATAATTAATGATGAAATGAAGGGCATTTTAGAGAGAAAATTTAATTTAACTAAGAGCTTTTTCAATTTTCTCTAAATAAAAAAAAAGGAGGGAGTAGATTTTTATGTTGGTACTAAAATTAATTAAATAAGCAATATTACCCAGCACTTCTGGAAATTTTTTTAAAAATTTTATTTTATTATTGATTATTAAGATAGTCAATTGATATTTTCTAATAATATCATTTTTTAAATTATAGTTAATTTAAGAATAAAAAATTAAATTATTGTTACAATTTAGTATATGTAATTCATTTAACAAGTATGTATTTGGTAATAGAAGAACAAAAAAAATATTGTAATGCTTGAGTGTTGCTGATATTTAATTTAATAGTGATGTTATTTAATTTTATATTATATTTATACTTATCAATTTAAATCCTTGCATTCAAATTTGACAAAATCTATTATTTAGATTTATTAAATATTTAATTTGCATGAATTTATAAAAAAAATTAAAAGTAATAGATTTGAAATACTTTTAAACATATAATTATTGCACTTCAATCCAATTAAACTCATTTCTTAAAAAATTTATAATTTAAGAATTCACTACTTAAATAAAGAAAATTTCAATTCATGTGCAACATCATATATTTTTACTTTTTCTTTTTTAATGCTATTAATTAGCTGAAAAATAAATTAAATAAAACATAAAAGATAAACATGTGTTGTTTGATTTAGTATATAGATCATATGCAGGGGTTGTGCTGGGAAAACCATTTTTGGGCCAAACAAAATTTTTGAAAGTTTAGGGGGATAAAGTATAATTTGTTATATTTTGAGGGACCAACTTCATGAACTATGAAGCTTACACTTGTTCCTCTGAAAGTGTGTGGCGTATCAATGGAATATGGACCTATGTTGCAAGTAAAATGATAGCCCAAGGGTAAAATGGAAATATCATGAAAAATACACGGTTTAAATTGGTATTGCATTGTTCCTATGAACAGTAAAATTTGATGGCGGTTTCGTAAATATTATATTTCTATATCTGGTTTTACTGGTGTACAGAAATAAGAAAATTCTGTGTTGATCCATGATAGGTTACTTTGTCAAATATGAAATATTATTTGTTTATTAATATTGCTTTTTATATTTTAAATATTTTTAACTCCAGATAATTGAGTTTGTATATTTTGTAACCATTAAATTGGTGATATAAATTTTATATGTTATATGGTTTGGGCAACATTATGGCCACACTTTTGTTTGGGTTAATTTAGTAGAGATATAAATGTAAAAAAAAAAAAAAAAAAAAAAAAAAAAAAAAAAAAAAAAAAAAAAATTGAACATTAGTACATTAAAATTAATGAAGTTGCAGATTAAATAGAGACATTTATAAAAATTAAAATTATAAAATTTATAATTTAATAAATTTTTACCTTTAATTATAAAAATTAATTGCAGTGGTTAAAGATGATCAAATTATTTTATAAAAAATTAATTGGTGAGAAAAATATAATACAAATATTTGAACCATAAAATTTTTTTCAAATTATATTAAATGAGATGGAAAGGAAATAAGAGAATGATAAGTTAAATATTGAATAAAAAAATTTAAAATCAAGACCTTATTTAAAAATATAAATAAAATGAAAAATAATTAATAATATAAGTACCTGAATTTATATACAAGTTAATAAATATAGTTTAATTTTACTTTTATTCAAGTGAAAAAAAGTATTAGGAGATTAGAATCGAAAGTTTGTACATTTGAAGAGGATTCGATGTGTATTTGATGATTTAATTTAATAATGTTTATTCTTTCCGTAAAAGAAGAAAAAATGAGAAGTATGTAGTAATTTTGAAAAAGAAATAACGTTTTTAAAATGAATAAAAAAAAGATTTTTTTAACAAACTAGATAGAATAGTGTACTTATATGATAGGTAACCGGTTGTTTATTTGTTGTCTAATCTAATAGATAAGTTTTAAATATTAGAATCTAATGGCTGCAAATAGTTTTTTTATCAATACAGAATTATTAATAGTTTGTACTCTGTACCATAGTTTTACCCTTCTATATCAAATCAATGAGCTTATTTTTGTAATTAAAAAATCATATAAGGACCCATAAGGCACTAACAAAAATTATTACTCCATTCCTCCCAAAAAAAATAGTTAATCTTTGACTTTTGATTTGTTACAAAATATAGTCAATTTTTCTTGTTATATTATAATTAATCCTTAAATTGTCTATTATATTCTTATTAAATTTTATTTTCTTTTCAATAACCCTCGTTAATTCTTATTTATTATTCAAATATAATAATTACTCATGTGCTATTTAAAATGGATAAAATAAGAAAGTTATATGAATAAAATTGTCTTTTTATCCATATTTCATAATCTATATGAAAATAAAAAAGTGAATTATCTTTTTAAAATGGGGGAATATGTTTTAGGAAAGGGATTCAAAATTAAAGAATTTCGTCTCTCTTTCTAATAAAATTTCTTTTTTTTAAACATGCCTAGAAATGAGTATTTCAAAAAGAATTTTAAACCATTTTATAACGCATTTAGATATGAAAATTTTAAGCGAGTTTGAGCGTAAAAAGTACAAATTTAACGAGTACTCCCCGCTTCCATCCCTAACGGCAATATGCAAGTTGATTGCCTAGTGTGGATGCAACATGGAAGATAAGATTAAGAAATTGAGAAACAGCAGAATTGGTGTGTGCGGTTGGCACTCCGACAGACGTGGCTTGCTTTTTACTCCATACAAACATTTATAATAGGGATAGGGATAGGACTATCCATTTGCCTTCCCAATTGGCCCAAGCATTTGTCTTTTTATCATAAATTTCATTAATTCAATTTCTTTTAATTATCAAATTTTCAAACGCAATTTCATTTTCATTTTATTTGCTGGAATATTGCAAACACCGTCTCTGAAGAACTTATTACGATTAGTGATTAATAGCAGTTTACAACTATTAGTCAATTAATATGACAAAAGCAGTACTTACATGTTAGTTAAAAATTCACTACACACACATATATATATATATTTAAACTATTTGGTATTCAAATCCATTGAGCTAATTAATTCAGATTAGCACCAGATAATCTCACGAAGGAGGTAAAGCGCTTCCTATCAAATTTTAAAAGTACTCCATATTCAGAATTCGAATTCTAAAACTCTAGTTAAAAGAAAAGAGACCCTTCGTTATTTCATTTCACCCGAATATTTTAATAATGTGCACGCCAATTCACTAAAATTAACATTTTGTAATTTTATGGACTTGATCTATTATTGAAAATTGAAAATTTAATAAACTTCATAATTGTTTTATTTATTGATTTTTATTTAAAGAAGTACTAAAATTTTAATTCTTTGTTTGAAATTTAAAATTATAAAAATTCAAGGCATACAAATTTTATTTCATCAGTTTTCGCATCTGAATATAAATAATTTATTAAAAAATAATATCGAAATATAAGAATTCATTTTTTTAAAGAAAAATAATAGAATTCATATTATTTAAAATATGATGTTTTAAGAATTTAATTTAATTCACAGTGGAATTGTATGAATGTCCTCACAATTATATTATAGTCTCCTAAAATATAATAATAAGATTATATTTATTTTTGAATAAGTAAACATAATTTTCCGATATTTTAGATGGAAATGAGTAATATCTACCGACTCTGATGCCTATCCATTGTTTATATAGTTAGTCAACGGTCAATTCTCATTTTTAAAAAACAAAACTATGAGACGCTTTTATTATTATTCTTTTTTCTTTCGAAGAAACAACCATATTCTTATTTTATTAATTGTCACTTTTAAATTTGTTAAATATAAATAAATACGGTAAGTCTTTCTATTTTAAATAATATTTATTTAATATGATTAAATTAAATTTTTATACTTGAGATTTTTTAAGTAAAACCTAAAATAACCAAGTATCAACTATGTGCTAAAAATAAAATAAAATAGATAATATATGTGTACATCACATGTGCAATTTTTCTAAAAATTTTATTTATTAAAACTAATTAACACCTTCTTTTTATAAATGGAAACCGCCAAAAGCCAACCAAAAGTAAATTTACAGCTCGAAGGCAAAAAAAAAAAAAAAAAAGAAAAAAAAAAAAATAATTAAACACCTTCTTTTATAAATGTGAAAACAGCCAAAAGCCAACCAAAAGTAAATTTACAGCTCGAAGGCAAAAAAAAAAAAAAAAAGAAAAAAAAAGAAGACAGTCACCCTCACAAAAAAAAAAAAAAAAAAAGAAAAAAAAAAGAAGACAGTCACCCCTCACCCTATTATTATATTTGCAAACAAACAAAGTACTGATTTCTTTATTCCTTCATCTTTCTGTGTTAATTGCCTTTCCTTTCTTCTTTCCTTCTCTTCAACCTCAAGCGATCTCAAATTCGCTGCCTTTACTTTCTCCCATTCCCATATAAATTCATTATTAGAAGTAGAAGAAGACAAAATTAAGTTCTTAAGATAACTAATTAAGTTCGTCCATTAATGGCAATGGGAATCATGTCTGTCACAGTACCAGCAGTTGTTGCTGCAGCTGGGATTTATTTTTTCGATAGAACTCATCCAATAACTCAGGTATTTCTCTATCTCTCAATGTATATATAACCATATAATTAGGCCTAAACAAGCCAACTTGGTCGTTCACCTGCTCGAGGCTCGACCGGGAAGAAACTCGCTCAATGAGCTTAACGAGCCCTGCAGCTTGTTTATCGAATTTACTTATTCAAAATAAGAATCGAGCTCGAGTTTCACGTAAAAGAGAAAAGAAAATTTTTAACTACAAACGGTAAACGAGCTCATAGAGAATTAAATTTTAAAAATTTACATATATTTTTTATTGAGCTAAATTTGAGCTCAATATAATTGGCAGGATTTATTACAGTCTTATACACATTATGGAATTTAGAGGTAATTTTTTAAAAAATCATTTGTAACAGGAAATTGGAAATGGAAGGCAAGCTTCTATAGGAAGAATGATAGCAAAAGTGACTGAAGAAGGGAAGAATAGTTCTACAAAACCGAAATTAGCTCCTCAATTTGATGGCTTGTATTGTTTCGAAACATTAGTAGGTCATTGATGGTGGTGGTAGTTTGATTTATTATCTATTTATTTATTTATGTCTAATTATTTAATTCAATTTATTTTTTTTTTACTTTTTTGAACAATGTGGATTTGAATGCTAAAACACGAAAGGGCATAAATGTACAATACAAAAAGTCGTAGGCTGAAGCTATCTAATATTATGACTGAACTAATTGTTATTCCGGGTTTCACAAGCTGAGTATATATAGATTAATGATAGAATCATAAAATAGAAAAAAAAAAAAAGTTCAAATAAGATATAGATGTATATAATATAGGTACATATAATATGTTCAAATAAATATTAATATTTATAAAATTATTCAATATACTTTTATAGTATTTAAATAATATAATTTTTAAATTTAAATATTCAGAATAGCATTTTGAATATAAATGATTGGATATTTGAATTCTTTTTAATAGAGTACTATATAGTGAAATACAAAATTATAAAAAACCCACCAGATTAATTGGAAAAGAAACAAATAATAATAAGAAATCTAAAAAATAATTAAAAAAATATTACTTATAATATATCTAAACATGAAAAGACCAAGGATTCTTCATCTTCTCTTCTTGAAATCTGCCGCCGCTAAGGCCATTCACCGTCATCCCTATTACTTCCTTCCACAAAAGCATAATACCTCAACAGAAAAACCATAGTCAAAACAATCCACAGCAAGAAAAAGATCAAAGCACAAATTTTACCAGATAATTTCAAAATAACAGCACCTTACAATCAAGATTAAGTTCATACATAGGAAAACTGGCAGGAGTATAAACAGAGGGGAAGCACACGAAACAAAACAAAACCAATATAAATGAAGGAGAATAAAAAATAAGGATACATGAAACACTGATTATTGATTCACACCTATGAGGGATTCTCCCTCAACATATACAAAAAATTGAGGAATTTTCTATTATGTTATTAAACAATGCTACATATGCTAAAAGGGCATTTAAATGAAAAGATGAAGAACAAATCCACGTATCTTATCAATCTCGAACTCGATGTCATCCTTACATGGAATAAAGATTTTAATAAGAATAAAAAATAAGAAGGGAAAAAAATATAAAAGTTGTTCATAGAAATTGTGAATTACATTTGAAGTAGAAAATATATTTAGGTTTTATGTTCAAAAATTAAAAAATTAAAATTTTAGTTAGATTAAATTACATTAAATAATAATTAGATTAGATTAAATTTTAAAACTTATCAACTATCGTTATTATATATTAAATATGAAATTGAACAAATTAATTAAGTTGGCCAATCAAAATATAGAAAGATAGCAAAAAAATTCAAATTTTCTAAAAAAAGAAAAATAGAATCTTGAACAAAAAGAAGCCCTTGAACTTTGTTTTTGTTTCAACTTATATATATATTCAACTTATTCTTTCGCATGACAAATTAGGTATTCAAGAGTTAGTGCTTCATTTTCATGAAAAGAATATTTGGTCCTTATCCAAAACATTCCTGCCAAATCTACCTTATACAATTCTATAGGTTTCAATTATTTTTCGTAACATGTAGAATATAAGACTAACTATTTATTACTAGGACGTATGCGATTCTTTTTCATAGACTGGACCGGTTAAAATCTGGATATATGCCCTTTAAATGCATAGTAAGCCTACTATAAACTTGTAATGGTTTTTAAGCCCAACCTAATTCGAGGACTCAAATTATATTTTCTCATTAAAATTCTCATAATACGGGGCCAATAAATCATCGATCTGTCATCACAACATTAATCAATATACCATTTTGCACTAAAAAATATTGAGTATAATTACATTTCAATATAATCATCAACGGTACTATATAAAAATATATATATATATATAATCATCAATGGTCAAGCTAACAGTAATTCTAGTTATACAATGTAATTTACTAGCAATTATGTTATCTTTGATAAAATTAGCTGTTTTAATAGCTGTTAGCTGTTTGACTAACTTTTTATAAAACGCAAAAAGCTAAACATCATATGAGTTTACTTTTTAAAAAACACTATCTTAACCTCTAAAAGCTAGTTCAAATGCTATGTTATCGAATACTATAAACAATAGGGTTTTGGTTAGCCAAAAATCTAAAATCTACTTAAAAAGTTGTTGCCCTACAAAGCTTTAATTATATAACATACTTTGCATATCAATTTCGATTGGAATGACTACTCTCACTTCATATATTAATAAAAATGAGATTTCTCCTGTGGATTTCCTTGAAATTGGTCGGCATGTGCAAAGGAAATTATTGAGTTCGTTTGTGCAATTTGATCTTTTTTCATCTAATATTTCTTAGAATAGGGTTATCTATGATATTGGGAGTGAGAATAGTCTTTTGATCCATTAGCTCTTGGATCTTTTGCTTCAGATTCTAGCATGATTCATTTTTGTTCCTTATCGGCCGATGATAATCGCAATATTCTATGGGATTATACCCTTTAGTGCAAGACAAATCCGTTAGTTCTAATGGTTGGATCAGTTTCTCTTCAAAGACCTTCTTGTATACCAGAGTGATAGGGACTGCCAAATCAATGGCTTATAACCTTTTACCTATCTTTCCCTTTTGCAACCTTAAGGGAGCTTGAGCAATGATATAAGATATTTCTCCACCTTTCTGATTCGTGTAGTGTGAAACAAAATTGATCCTCCTACAGTACCTTGAAGTACTTGATTCATTCTTAATTAAGCCAAATTGGATTAAATCCTCAACTTTTGTTGCAATGGAAATGAGAGCTTGAAAACTGGGCAGATACTTAGAAAATGAAATTTTACTACACTAACCTTAAATCAGTGCCTTAAATCTACTGATCACTCTAGTAAAGACTCTCTGCTTTTAGCCTTTAAGAAAATAAAGATTCAAAATAAGTACTTGGACTTAATGAAATTGAAATCTAGATGCATGAATGACATAAAAAAAAATGCATAAGAACTTATTTTTAGCCTTAGATTGAAGAATCACTAACCAAAAATTATGAAATTCTAGGATTTAATGCAAGAATTCACCTCCTTAACTTAGGTAATTAAACATTGTACTTGAGTGTACTTAAAATGAAGTTTTTGGTGGGTGTTATGAAGAAAAACAGAGGAGAGAGAGAGAGGGAAGTAGCTTGGGTAGCTAGGGTTTGTGAAGGTAGGAGATGAAGTTGTAACACTGTTGGTTCTTTAGGTTTTAGATTGTTGACCATGATTTCACCACCGGGCTTTAGGAAATTCCACCACGGTTCCAATGGCGTGAGAATCAGCTCGATCGAGCATCGTTTGTGCCTCAAATGGACCTCAGAAAGCCTGAAAACCCTGAAATTAAAGGGCAGGGGCAGAAGGGTAATTCGCCCTAATCGGTGCCTAGCGTCAGCACCAATTACCCCTATATTAGTGCCGATTTTGGGTGCACCGAAGCCCTTAATCGATATCAAATAGAAACACTTTGGTGCCAATTTAGAGGACCTCGGCACTGATTTTTACCTGGCTCAGCACTCCCTTGCCTATAAAAGGCACTCTCCCCCTCCTCATTGGTCACCTCATGTTGCTTGATCGAGCGCTTCTTAAGCTTTAACGACTCTCATTCTTTCTTTTGCAATTCTAAGGCAATACAGTCCAACCTTGCTCTTCTTTTTTAGTTGAGTTAATGCCCGACTTGGTATACAAAATTTGATCCTTTCGACTTTCACTTGCAGTTTTGTCTTCCTTAGACAAGGGCTATTAGTTAGTTGATTTATTATTAATTAATTTAAGAATTAATTAATAATCCGTCAATTGACACTAGTACAAATATAAGACTATAATTCGGGTCTTCATGCCCTACATTAGCATTATTTGGAGGAAGACTCGACCTCTTTGGTCGTTACAACTGTGGAGTTCTGATCCGGTCGCGTCACAAGCATGAGGGTATAAACCACTAAACTCAAAACTTTGTTAGTTAAGCCTGATCTGTCCGGCACTATATCAATTGTCAAGCCCGGTCCGTCCGACACTCCGCATGCTTTAATCTCGGCCCATCTGGCATACTAAGCTTGGTCTGTCCTACAAAACTACAAAACTTTCAACCTAAACACCAACCAGTGGTCAACCCAAACACCAACCAGTGGTCAACCTAAACACTGACCAGTAGTCTTAATACCAAACGCCAGTCCTTACCCGAGGAAATGTGCCCAGCTAAAACTTCTATCAATCAAAATCCTTAAACACTGACTTGAGCACCTAAAATTACCAAAAGCCTCAAACACCGACCTGAGCATCCTTATTTACCAAAAGCCTTAAATCATATCTAAGCACTCACAATCCCTAAACTGGGGATAATGCCTGAGTCATGCCCCCAAATCTTGGCTTGTGCATTGCATTTTCTTATCCAAAAGCCTCAAACACTGACCTAGGTACCTCAAATTACCAAAGCCTCAAACACCGACCTAAGCACCCTTATTTACCAAAAAGCCTTAAATCAGACCTAAGCACTCACAATCCCAAAATCGAGGGCAATGCCCGAGTTATGCCCTTAAATCTTAGCTCGTGCATTACTTCTTCCTATCCAAAAGGAGCCTAAACACCCGATTATGACACTACTCAAAGTACATAAAGACCTCAAGCACTGATTTGAGCGCCTTAAGCATCCTTAAAAACGCTTAATACGATTAACTTGAGTTATAAACCTTAACTGTGCCAGCTTTTGACCCTCGAAATTACCAAAGCCTAAACACCGACCTTAATGCACCCTTATTTTACCAAAAAAGCCTAAATCAGACCTAAGCACTCACAATCCCAAAATTTCTTAGGGCTCAATGCCCGAGTTTATGCCCTTAGAATCTTCAGCTCGTTGCATTTACTTCCTTTCCTATCCAAAAGCCTCAAACACGCAGCAGCCTATATGATGACTACTCAAAGTACCAAAAGCCTCAAGCACTGATTTTAGCGCTCTTAAGCATCCTTTAAAAACCTTTAAACACTTACTTGAGTTACTAAACCCTACTGTGCATGCTTTTTGAAACGCTAACCCAAAACTGTATACTGCTACTCCTTCTGTTTACTTTCTTCTAGATTCTTCCTATCCAAAAGCCTCAAACA